GGCGGGCGCACTGTGCATGGGATGCAGCTTGCAAAACAAATACCGCCAGGTAGGAAAGTTTCCTCGCCAGGCGAGGCTGCGCTGGCCTTGGGGCTCCAGGTACAAGGCGCCCAGCCCGCGCCGCCGTCGCCCCGTCCCGCCCTCGCCCCGTCCTTCCCGCCCTGGCCTCGGCCTCCTGGGCCTCGGTCTCCCGGCGCCCACGCCCAGCCCTCAGCACCACCGCCAGGCTCGAGGGACGCAGGCTGGGCGGCCTGTCCGGGCACGTGTGGCCCCTCGGCCGCGGGAGCTGGCCCAGCCCCCACCCTGCCCTGGCAGTGGCCGGCGCCTGGTCCCCGCCTCGCGGGCCTAGTGCTGCCACCTGCACAGATGGCGCTGGCAGCTGTGGCACCGGCTGCAGACCTGCCTGGTCGCCATGACAACGGACACGCTCTCCAGAGGGGCGTGGCCAGGGGAGGGAGGGCTCGTGCCAGCTGTCCGCCCCCTGGGCGCGCCCACCGTGAGGGGCCTTCCATGACCTGCATGGAGGCCAGGCTGCCCACCGGCCCCCAGCCAGGCCAGGTCACCAGCCGCCCTGGGGTGGGGCAGGGCGTAGAATAGGCCTCTGAGCCCAGGACACTGGCTCCCCCTCCCCAGGGGCCCACTCAGAGACAGCGTCCAGCATCCCTGGGAGGGTGGAGGCGCGGCCAGAAGCCCAGTCCCGGCCTGGGCCGCCTGCTGCTCTTCCGCAACCCGCCATCGGCCACCGGCCCTCCCTGGACAGCCTGCAGGTGCGCTTCTGCCCCCCCGCCCCAGGCCTGGCCCTGTGTGGCTTCATGTCCCCGGGGGCCCTGGGCAAATGGCCGGGGAGGCTGAGGGCCGGGCCCGGCAGCAGGCGGCTCTTTGCATCCATCCTGGCGTCACCTGGTCCCTGGCTATCAAATCTTCCTGTAAATGGACAGATGTGGCCGGTGGGTGCCGCGTCTGTGTGCGGGAGCCGCTGGTGAGGGGGGCCTGGCGGCCCGGCCTGGACGGGCTGCCCCTTCCGCAGACACTGCCCCAGGGCCTGGCCCCACCAGCCAGCTGCCTCCCGCTGGCCGAGGTCCGTCCAGTCCCGGACTGCGCTTCGGAGAGGCAGAGACAGACGTCTGTGAGGGGAGGGGAGGCCACAGAGTGGCTGGGAGCCTGCGGAAACCTGACACCGCCCCAGCGCCCCAGGCCCCGCCGGATTTCCGATTTCCGATTTGTGGGCGAGGCAGTTCCAGACCTGCGGGATGAGAGGATTCTAGGCCCCGCCTTCCCCTGGCTGGCCGTTGCTGTAGCAACCTCGAGCCCCCCTGCTGCTGAGGGGGTTGGGGGTGGGGGGTGTCAGGTTACAGGGCCACCAAGCTGCAGCATCCCGGGACATAGGGGCTCCCAGGGCCCCACCTGCAGGCGGTCCTGCCTCTCTGGAGAAGGGGCAGTGGCCAGTGCTGGTGTCCCTGCGGAGACCGGGCTCCCCACAGCCTCTCTCTAGCCTGGGGGGCGCGGGTGCAGCTGCCGGGAGCCCCCATAGCGTCCACCGCAGCTGGTAATGCACAGGACAGAAGCAAGTCTGTGCTTCTCACTAAGGGGGGCAGGGTCTTTCAGAGACAGCCACTTCCGCATGGGGGGCCCTGGGGGCTGGCCTCATCCTGAGGAGTCACAGGGTAGACTGAGCCAGGGGCCAGCTGAGGGCGGCTCCTCCCCCGCTGGAGGGGACCAGAGGCAGCCCCTGGGGACCTTGGGGAGAGGCTGTGGGAGCCCCAGTGACACCTGCCCTCCCCTGGCCGGAGTGAGCGGGCCTGGGCCTAGGCAAGGGCAGCAGCTGGGGCTGGGGTGCTCGCTGCCCCCTCCAGGCCTCTGTCCCAGCCCAGCCCCAGCCCCAGCCCCAGTCCAGCCCCAGCCCAGCCCCAGCCCAGCCCAGCCC